GCAGCAGCAGTCTGCCCCTTCCTTTTGGGAGTCTTGGTGGCCTGGCATCCCCGGGCAAACGCTCACCTCCATTCGCATCCGTTAGCTCGGTTCTCCGCAAGAACCCCAAGTAGCCTGTCCGTGCCCAGACTGTCTGGGTGTCTCCGAAACTCAGTCGCGAGTTGAAGTGATCTGACTGGAGGGACTCGTCTCCATAAATCGTAAAGTAGCCACTGGCGTTGTGCGCGCTGTGAACCCAAATCTGTAAAGGAAGCAAAAGAGAAGTTTGCTTGATGCTCTGCCCCTGGAAGAGGCTTTACAGTTATTTTCACAATCCAGGATATACCCAGTGCTGCTCAACGCGCCTGAGGACAGGCCCCTGCGTCCCCAGTCAACGCCGGCTGAGTGAGTATCTGACAAGAGAAAACCAGGAAAGCGGGAGACGAGCGACTCAGTCTGATCCCTGAAACAAAACATGTCTTTCATGAAGACACACTCCTCTCCGAGAGTCGCTTTGAAACGTCCCCAGTTCTGGGAATCTGCAGGGTGAGAGGAGGGAAGAGGTCTGTCTTCCCCCGCAGTCTGCTCTCCAGGCCCTGGGAACATGGCCATCTGACAAGGGAGGCAGGGACCCGGCTCCGCTTCCGCTCCCTGCCCCGGACACAAAGCAGGCCACGTCTCCACTGGAATGGTGAATACCCTTTGGCCCGGCAGTTTTATTTCCAGCAACGGTTTTCAATGACATTCTTATGTCTCTATAGCATTGTGTCCTCTCAATCCTGCACGTTCCACATGACAGAGAGAGCTGAGTGACGAACAGAATTTCTCCAAGGAGAAACAGTTTGGGGACACGAGACCCGATTCAGACACATGCGCCCACATGCTCTGCTACTCCTTCCAGAACTCTTCTTTTGTGCGGAGAGGCAATAAACAAAGGACTGTCAAATGGCGCTGAGGACTCAGCAGAGAAAGGACTAAAGTAGAGAGACCCAGGGGACTGAGAAAGGGGAGCCCTGTGGAGAGCTTGGGGAGGAGCACTTCTGTCCCAGGGCTTGGCTAGTGCAAAGGCTGCAGGGGGAGCGGCCCCTGTACTAAGGAGCAGTGAGAGGTGTGGCGGGGCCTTCGGTGCCTAGAGTGATAAGGGGCATGAACAGAAAAGGAGTTGGGCCTCAGGTTCAGGGTTTTCCTGCGAGTGAGGTGGAAGGATGGGAGGATTCTGAACAAAGGAGTGGCGTGGAAACTTTAAGGTTTCAAATTCTACGATCATGTGGGCTTCTCTATGAAGACCAGACGATAGGGGGCAAAGGCAGAAGCAGCAAGATTACACTGGGGACACTTTGGGGTGATCTAGCAAGAAATGATGACTTTCACTAGGACGGGAGTGCTGGAGGTAAGAAGCTTCGCCTACCAGAGGATTTCAAAAGCGGGTGATGTGATAGGATTTGTTGATGGATTGCAGGTAAAGCCTAAGACAGAGAAGGGAGTAAGTAACCATGATGATTTTTTGTGTGGGTTTTTGTCTTTTTGGCTTGGGCAGCCAGTAGAATGGACTCGCCATTTACTGAGAGGAGAGAATGACGTGGGGAGGATCTCTGTGGCTGGAAAGGAGACGCGGAGTTTTCTGTTGGACATAGTTAGGAATTTCCAACCTAAGAGGCCTCTGGAGTCTAAAGGAAAGGTTATGGCTTGAGTCATCTATCTGGCAGCCAAAAGGTATGTATAGCATTGAAATCCAGGCAATGGATAGGTTAATTTAGGAATTAAGAATAAATAGAGAAGACAGCACAACTTGACTAAGAGAAATGAAAACATGAAGGACATGAGAAAAAGGGGCAGTTTTAATACAGACACAATTGTGCAGCAACAGTAACAAAAAATATCCCCATATGAGGGGAAC